TTTTTAATTAAATAATACTCCATTCGTCTCGGATATTTTTTCCGTTTTACTGTAGACACGAGAATTTATGATGGATATAATTAATAAATAACTAAAAATATATTAGTGAAACTAATTATCATATAATAAAAATAATTATATATTAAAATTAAGATAAGTAATTAATATAATTAAAATTAAAAAATTATAAATTAATTTTTTAAAAATAAGATTAAAGTGTATAATTTTCTTTCCAAAAAATAAAAGTGACAAAATAAGTGGGACGGACGTAAAAAGAAAAGTGGACATAAGAAGTGGGATTGAGGAAATATATTACTCCCTCCGTCCCATAACTATATATCCATTTGTTTTTTTGGGATAAAGTAGAAATAAAGGTAAAATGACTAAATTAACCATAATAGTATTGTATGATATAAAAGTAATTGCATTTGTGTAATATATTGTAAATGAGAAAGGTATTTATAATGTTAGGTAGATAGTACAATTACTAAAAATTAAAATAAATATTTTGTTATGGTACGAATTAAAATAAAAAAAAAAATTAATTGTTAAGGTAGGGAAGAAGTATAAGTTTATTTTATATATATATATATATATATAATGGAATATTAAGAGAGGCACGTGATTGAGATTCGGTAGTTGGACGGTTGAGATTTGTGATGCACCTTCAATGGCGAAGGTTGTCCCAAATCTACATTAACATATTATTTATAGCATTAACATTTTATTATTAATAATAATAATAATAATAATAATTACATTAAGTTTTTCTTAATTGTATTTATTTAGTTATAATTTGTGATATTTACAATTATATATTTTTATCATTTTAAATAAAATTTATAAAATTATTATAATAAAAGATAGCTAGATATAAAAAAAAAATTATAAAAATATAATATGAGTGTTTGTTTTGTATTTTTAATTTGAGGTGCTTTTTATGTTAGTATGAAAAAGTCGTACAATGATATAAAAAAAATACTTTGTATTGAAATTATTATTTTTTTCAAATAGATAAAGTATATATATTATTATGTTTTTTATAATATTACTCGAGAATTGTGTTTGAATTCTTTTGTAGGAAAAAAAAAAAGAAAAAAAAAACATCCTATCCTATGTATATGAGAAAAATAAAAAAATAGCAATAATTGGAACAAATAGATTATATAATGATGATTAAAAAATAGATATTTTAAATAAAAAATAATTTATTTCATTGTCGATGATCTAGATAATTGAATTTAAATCTAATATTTAAATGAGTTGTACTAGGCTACAATCCTCATTTATTACTAATAAATTATCCCCCCGTCTTCCATTCCGTGTCCGCTAGACACAGTATTTTAGAAAGAGTGTAATTAGTAGATAATTAAAAATGTATTAATGAAAATAATTATCCTATAATATAAATAATTATAAATTAAGATTAAGATAACTAATTAGTTTAATTAAAATTAAAAAATTAATTAATTAAAAAGTTTAAAATGAGATTAAAGTGTGTAATCATTTTCCAAAAAAGAAAAGTGACATGGAATATGAGACGGACAGAAACGGAAACATGGATATAATATGTGGGACGGATAGAGTAATATAATAGTGAAATTAAAACAACAAAAATTAACAAGCACTACGATATGGCATTATCTTATTGATGAATATTAATAATATATATATATATAATATATACATATATTAATACAATATAAATAATATATACTATTTTTTTTACAAAGAAATCAACACAGAATATCATTTTTATATTATCGATATAATTTATTGCACATAAAATACAAAAACAGCACAAGTCTTTATTAAAAGCAACACATGTTATTTGTAATAATAATATGTGTTGTTTGTTTATAATTACACGTGTGTTGTACAAGTGTATGTCATGTGCTGAAATGAACGGTTATATGTGTTATGTGAGATATGTATTTATATTATATGAATATAGATAATTTGTTGTAACTAACATTACCGTATGTTGTTTGCTAGCTATCTGTAGTTCATGTGACCATTTATGTCTGATTTTGCTCGTTATTTTATATGAAATTTCATAGGCTTCATTGATTTACATAGATTTTATAGTTTTTTTTTTTAATTAATTTAATAATTTTCGTAAATTTCAATATTTCAGTATTGCAAATATAAATAGAGCACTTTATTCAAATTATTTAATAAATATTCGAAAGAAAATATATCATCATCATCATATCATTATTATTATTATTATTATTATTATTATTATTATTATTATTACTCCTTTTTCGTTTCATATAAGTTATTCATATATTTTTATTTTGATTTGTTTCATATAATTAATATTTTTTAAAAATAATTATACGCTTTAATAATATTTTAAATTTTATATTTTATAGCTTTTAAATTTAATTTAAATTAATTAATTAATCTAATTTTAATATATAATTATTTATATTATAAAATAATGATTTTTATTAATATTTTTTTAACTAATTATTAATTATATCTATACTTACAAGAAAAAATCAAATAAATAGGTGGAACGGAGAAATTATTATATTAATAATTTAAATTTCATAATTTTTTTTATTATATTACTATTATCTAATTTATATTTATTATTTACATTAATATTCAATTTAACTCTCATTAAATTCATTATACTAATTATTTTCATTGTTGTAACAATCTATTTAGTTATTATTATTATTTACACAAAAAAAACATATTTTTATCCTAAATATAGTTCTAAATAAAATTAATATTAAAGATTTCTTAAAATTTTCAAATAAGAAAAATAAGATTTTTTTAAAAAAAGAATGAATAAATATGAACTGATGGTTTAATCCATAATCGATGATTTTTGAATTGGAACTGTAGAAATTAAAATCAAAATCATCACTTAAAATATTTAATTTTAATTTGATTTTTCAACAAATTAAAACTCATAATTTTGATTTGAACAATCTACTCTATTATTTTAAAAAATATAAACTCTTGGTATTATTTTAAATATATACATTTTAAAATATTTATAATTTTTTCCTCTTATTACTATTAATTTATAAAAATATTAAATACATATGATAAATAAATAGTTATTAGTTATATAAATAAAATAATACTTCCGTCTCATTAAAATTGTTTAAGTGACTATAAATATGCTAATTTCTTTTTTAAAAAATAATTAGTAAATTAAGAAATACTCCATCCGTCGGACATAATATTTTAATTGTAGTGAGTAATTAAAAATAATATAAAAATTTTTTTGCTTTTTTTTTAGTATTAAAGTAATGATTGATGTAGAACTGGTATTTGTGGAAAAAATTGAGGTATTTAATGAAATAATTATTTGTAATTGGATAATAAAAAAAACATATGTATACTTTCTGCTAGACGAAAGAGATTATATTTGTAAAATAATTACTTCATACGTCGCACGTACCATGTTCACGTTGCCATTTCTGTCCGTCCCAAATATCATATCACTTTTCTTTTTTGGAAAATAATTACACACTTTAATCTCATTTTAAACTTTTTAATTTTTTTTTATAAATTTTAATTAAAATAATTAGTTATCTTAATATTAATTTATAATTATTTATATTATCGGATAATTATTTTTACTAATATATTCTTAATTATATACTAATTACACCCTCCTAAAATACTGGCGTAGCTATATATGAGAAGGAGGTGGTATTATATAAGAAAAATAATTATATATTAAGATAACTGAATAATTTAATTAAAATTAACAAAATTATAAATGATAAAATTTAAAATTTAATTAACTTGTTAGTCATTTTTCAAAAAATAAATAAATAAATTAGTTAGGAGGATTGAAATAATAAGAAAAAATGAACACTTTTATGTAAAATGAAGAGAGCAGTAATTTTATTTTATTTTTTAATTTTTTTTTTTTTAAATTTTGTGAATCTAGTCATTATAAAGAGTAATTTATTAACAATTTTATAGCAAAATCCAACAAAATTTATAGTGTATTAAAATATATGAATTATTGAATAGTAAAAAAATTCTTTAAAATCTTTATTTAATATCTCACTTTAATTTTTTTTAAAAAAATTTGAATCAAGCTACATTTAAATTTTAGAAAGAATTTTAAAAATTGTACTGTTTTAATTTTAAATAAAATTTTTTTAAATAAAAATAATTATTTTATACTATAATATAAATATATATCAATTTCATACTTTATAGTGTATTAAAGTATATGATTTTGTGAATAATAAGATTCTTTAAAATTAGTATTTAATATCTTATTTCAAATGAAAAAAAAATCTTAAATTAAAATAATTAGTTTGTAAAATATAAATTTATATATATATATATATTAATTTGATATTTTATAGTGTATTAAAGTACATAAATTTTTTAATAGTAGAAAGATTCTTTAAAATTTTTATTTAATACTCTATCCATTCCAATATAACAATTTTGTTTATCATTTTTGTCCGTCCCAAAATAATATTTTTATTTTCATAAATAATTATATTATCATAAAATTATCTCTACTATTAATAAACTTACACAGGCAAAAAAGTTATATTCTTACTTTTTACTAACTATTAATGTAATATTAATATTCCTAAATCTCGTGTTAAAACGCAAAAAGATTATACTTTTGGGATGAAGAGAGTAAATACATCTAAAATTAGAAAGACTTTAAAAAATTATGTTTACTTGTGCTGATTTGCTTTAAATAGAAAAAATTTAAATAAACATAATTATTTATATGATACAATTATAATATAATAAATATTTTAATTTAATATTTTGATTTTTTTTTTAAAAAAGTAAAACATCAAAACCAACTAACATGAACATCAACAAAATCGTATACGCATATATATATATATATATACACACCCTGTCACTGTCAGTCTCAGTATTCATTCACTTTACCATCTTTTTTTTTATTACATTTCCTACTTTCCGTTTAAACTGAAATTAAAAAAATTCTTTTTATTTATTTATTTATAATTCTGTATTCGTTGATCAAAGCACGAATCGTCGTTTACTTTTTATCAGTTTCTGGAGCAGATCCGTCTCCTTCTATTCCCAATCCTCCGCCACGCTCACACACTCTCTCCCTCTCACTCGCACCTGACGAATCCGAAGCTGAATTTTTTCCGTTTTCAAGTGATGGATTCGATTCCTTGTTGATTTTGGGTTTTGGAGGTAAGAGAGGAATTTGTTGATTTCGAGCAAGCCTGGGTGGTCGAAGGAAGTGGAATAATTCGTTACTGGAGACGGAATCGGGATGGGAGGCTGTACTTCGAAGCCGAAAGCCTCACCGGAGCACAATTTTGATCCGCCGGAGGCAGCAACTCCTCGCCGGGGAGACATGAGTCCGATTCCGGCGAGGAGGAATGGCGAGAGCGCTGCAAGCTCGGAGAAGAAGAAGAATGAAGAGAATCATGAATTAGGCAAGAAATCCCCATTTTTCCCGTTCTACAGCCCCAGTCCGTACCATCACTTCTTCTCGAAGAAGTCGCCAGCGAGATCTCCCAACGCGACGCCGAGGAGGTTCTTCAAGCGGCCGTTTCCGCCTCCATCTCCTGCGAAGCACATCATGGCGGTGCTGGCGCGGCGGCGCGGCTCTGTGAAGCCGAACGAGGCGTCGATACCGGAGGGGGAGGAGGCAGGACTGGATAGGAGCTTCGGATTCTCGAAGAATTTGCACAATAAGTATGAGATGGGGGAGGAGGTGGGGAGAGGTCATTTTGGCTATACTTGTAAAGCAAAGTTCAAAAAAGGGGAGCTCAAAGGGCAGGAAGTTGCTGTCAAGGTCATACCCAAAGCTAAGGTAAATAATAATTGGATCTTTTCATTTTATTTGTCTTCTTGTTTCCTGTTGTCTGGATTTTGTTCTCGATCTGATTCTTGTTTGATCTTGACTGATATTTGTTTGTAGAATTATGTATATATTATATATGATTATCTGTTTGGTGATCTGATCTATGTAAGGAGAAGTTTACTTTTGTTTGTTATTTTACCTGCAAGAAAGAACATGTGTAGACAACTCTTGAATTGAAAAGATGATTGGTTATAGTTGGATTATATGGATTGGCTTCCGAGATGTCGAATCTGCTATTATCCTGTTCAGTTCATTTGCTAGAGTAAGTGATCTTTGCTAGAGTAAGTGATCGAGGATGGAGTATATGGCGTTTGTCGGGTGCTCACTGGTGTATATGTTTTGTTTGGTTGACTTCTTGTTTGTTTCGTACGCGCCAAGTTAAGCTGTGGGAGTGATCAAGACTAGATTTGTATTATTGTGTTTAATATGCTTTGAGGATTCAATTTTGAAGATCTTGTTTTTGGCTGATGTTTTGAGTCTTTACTTACATTAAATACGGTGGACTGAGAATCGAGGCTGAGCTAGGGGTTGCACTTTTTGAGTTCTGAACAGAGTCAATAAAATCCGACAAAAATAACCGATTTGAGTTTAGCTTTGATAATCAGCTAGGTGTCTGTGAACCTGATTGATCCGACGAAGAAGCAGATCATGTTCAATGAGCGAAGTTTAAGCTGACCTAAGTTGATCCCTATGACCTGTTTGAAATGCCTGATGCAATGGCTTTTGTTAGTGTTATTGTTTCAATTGGTGTTTCTAGATGCAAAATACATGTTTAATTTCGTTTTTACTTTTATCTTGGAACATGTTTATTCAACAATTTTTCTCCAAATCGATCTCTCTAATTTAGATTGTGATTTTATTATCAGATGACCACTGCCATAGCCATTGAGGATGTAAGAAAAGAGGTAAAAATATTGAGAGCCTTGACAGGTCATAACAACCTGGTACAATTTTATGATGCATACGAAGATCACGACAATGTCTACATAGTCATGGAGTAAGTTTCTACTGTTTTTCAATGTTCATGAAACTGTTCTCTTAGTAATTTCATTGTGCTAATTTCAGGTTATGTGAAGGCGGCGAGCTTCTGGATAGAATACTTTCAAGGTATCCGTTGATTTTGAAAATTCTCATTCCATGAAGAAAGGCAAAAGCTATGTAATCCATATATATATATATATATTTCTTGAATTGTGAATTCTAACATGGTAGCTGGCATTATTATCGAATTAATCTGTTTGTATGTTACAGAGGCGGGAAGTATACAGAAGATGATGCAAAAACAGTGATCAGACAGATACTCAATGCCGTTGCTTATTGTCATCTCCAAGGGGTTGTGCACCGGGATCTTAAACCCGAGGTATGAGTTTCTCTGGTTTATCTAAAAGTTCTTTAAGGTTTGTAACTTTTGTCTATGACTCTACGTTTCCTATATATCTTGCTTACAAATTTTAAGGAAATACACATTTAAATGTCGAACCTTTTTTTATTTACACAATCGACTATGAATATTTCGTACGCTATTCTAACAAATGCTTGTTAATTGGTTCAGAATTTTTTATTTACATCCAAAGAAGAAAACTCAACATTGAAGGCCATAGATTTTGGTTTATCCGATTTCGTAAGACCAGGTTAGTCCTAATTGGTTCATTAAATTGTGACAAATTTGCGATGCTCGCTGTTGCTAGTGAAACCAACAAAATGGCTTCACTTCAATTTTTGCAGACGAGCGTCTTAATGACATTGTGGGCAGTGCATATTACGTAGCACCCGAGGTTCTTCACAGGGCGTACAGTACTGAGGCCGATGTTTGGAGCATTGGCGTAATATCATACATAATGTTATGCGGGAGTCGCCCATTTTGGGCGCGAACCGAGTCCGGTATATTTCGTTCTGTTGTGAAAGCTGAACCAAGCTTCGAAGAGCAACCTTGGCCGAGCCTCTCTCCCGAGGCAAAAGATTTCGTCAAACGTTTGCTAAATAAGGATCCGAGGAAACGAATGACCGCTGCTCAAGCAATGTGTGAGTATCCTTTTGTTAAGAACCGATTAATTCAGTCGATTTTGTAATCTTGATTATTTATCAATTTTCGGTATTTCATTCTTCCCGATCAGGTCATCCATGGATCAGAAATACCGACGACATAAAAATCCCGTTGGATATATTAACCTTCAAACTCATGAAAGTGTATCTACTCTCGTCTCCCCTTCGGAAAGCTGCGTTACGGGTTTGTGTTCCCCTCTTTCTCTTTCTCTTTATCCTCGAAATCGATATTAATTAGATGTACGGCTCGAATTTTCTCCAGGTTTTGTCGAAAACGCTCACCGCAGATGAGCTTTTCTACCTGAAGGAGCAGTTCACGATGTTAGAACCGAACAAGAACGGTTGTATAAGTTTAGATACGATCAAAACGGTCTGTGCCTCTCGCCTATTGGTTTTACTCGATTCCTTTTTTGGTCGAAAAATCGCTCTCTGATTCAGTCACTTAACCAGGCGGTGAAGAAAAATGCGACGGATGCGATTAACGAGTCGCGGATCCACGATTTTATTGCTTCGGTGTGCTTCTCGACTCGCTTTCATACCATTATTTATCCTAAGATTCGTCTTCTCGCGCTAATATATCCTTCCAAATGATTCCCATAGTTCAATGCGCTACAATACAGACGAATGGATTTTGAAGAGTTCTGCGCAGCCGCGCTGAGCGTCTACCAGCTGGAGGCGCTCGACCGATGGGAGCAACATGCTCGTTGCGCCTACGAACTCTTCGAAAAGGACGGCAATCGTATCATCATGATCGAGGAATTAGCTTCGGTACGTATCCATAGGCGATCCTTAAAAAATGCTAAGCAGTTCCTAGAGCTGTAAACGAGCTGAATAGTGCCGAGCTTGTCATGTTTAAACTCGGCTCGTTAAGGACTCGAGCTTGCCTCGTGTTTGTTCGTTAAGAAATACAAGTTGATATTTTTATTTGAGCTCGGCTCGTGTTCGTTCGTTAAGAGATACGAGCTGATATTTTTATTTGAGCTCGACTTGTTTAATTTTTTTTTTTTTTTTGTCGTTTTCTTGTCTTAGGAGCTTGGCCTCAGCCCGTCGGTGCCTGTCCACGCAGTCCTCCACGACTGGATTCGACATACGGACGGAAAACTCAGCTTCCTCGGATTCGTCAAGCTCTTGCATGGCGTCTCCGGCCGGACCATCGCCAAGGCCCGATGAATCCGGCCGGGCTTCGGGTTAGTTGTTGATTGAAATTGTTGCATAGTGTTAGAGAGAATTGGAGTTAGCCGTTGGGGTCTCAACGGTCGGACGGGGAGTAACTTCTTGTGCTCTTACTGTGTATGTAAAAAGTCGTAGTCTGTTTGTTAGTTAAATGTGGTGTTTTCATACATGAATATATATATATATATATATATACACATACATACATACATACATACATGTATTGGAGGTGTAACTGATGATGCTGACAGATTGGTGTTTTATTTTATTTTGTGTTTTATTTTATTTTATTATTATTTTATTTTAAAAAAAAAATAAATAAATTTGAGATTATTTAGTGAAAATGATTGTTTTGTGTGAAAGTTGATTCTATACATTTTTTAAAGACACTGCGTATTTGATCATGTATTTGATTCAATCATCATCCTAACTAATATACATGTATTTTAAAAATAGTATATTAAATAATATTAATATTATATATGTATGTATATATATCATCCCTTAAAATTCGCTTGTCAATGCAAGTGTCTTTATCTTATAATTTGATTTAATGCTGTGATTTGAATTTTATTAGGGGAAGATGAATTTTAGTTGCTATGAATTTTATATAAATATAATATTATTTTTCTATAATTCGAGAATGAGATTCATTACAAAAAAAAAAAAAAAAAAAACTCTTATTTGTAAAATTTTAAGCTTTTTTTTTAAAAAAATTTCCATTATTTTAAATTCTATCATTTTTTTTTTTTAAAATTCAAATTCCATTAAATTCCATTAACCAAACAGCTCCTTGGTGTAAGAAATTTTGTATGTATTTTCATTCATTTTGTATAAATGTGCATTCTTTATTTATATACTAAAAGTTGTCCAATCATATGTGTATATATATTAGTATTATAGTGTCTCAGTTAAAATTTTATCTCTTTAATTCTGAGATATAATACTATTTTATTTTTTTTACAAATATTCTTATTTTACGTCACATCATTATTTTTTTTAAAGTTGTCATCAAATGTCATTAACTATTTTTTAAGATGTCTACTATAATTAAAATATTACTACTTCCGTTCAGCCAGTAAACACGTGCTTTTGCACTACTGTGTTTAACATTAAAAATATTTTTATATTTATATAGTTTACTCCAAAAATATGATTGTATTTGTATCATATCAGACTAATACATGTATTTTTGTTATTTACTTTTTATTATTAATATTCAAATATCAACACAAAATAAACAACAGTATACTTCGTTGCTGGAGTGAGATAGTATTATTTTTTAAATACCACGCTAAAAGTAAATGTTTATTTTGTATATGGACGGAGGGAGAGTATATAGTATATAGTAATTTTATATTTTTTTATTAAAAAAATTGAATAATTGTTGTTTGACATTTCAAATTGTAAATTTTAGTGATATTTCAATAATTTGATTTGACTGTTTTATTGAAGAATAAAAGAAGATAACACGGATGCATCAAATAATATGAATATTTTTATTTTTATTTTTTAAATGTGTTACTTTTTAAGTGTTAATTTTATAATATTTTTTTTTACATATTTTAAGCATATAGAAGGAAGAAAAAAGACATGAAAATACAGAATATGATACGCAGATGACAGTTGAAGAAGCAAAAAATATCAAATAATAAAAATATTATGTGGACGTAATTTTTTTAGTTTTAAGTGTGAGTTATTTTCTTGTGTTAATTTTCTAATATTTTTTTTATAATACTGATATTTTTTAATTTTTTTATTTTGTACAAATGAAATGCAAAAAGAAGATAATGCTGGATGCAAAAAATATAAAATAAGAAGAATATTATATGTATGTTTTTTTAGTGTTAATGTTCTAATATTTTTAAAAACACTGATACTTTATTTTTGATATAAATATAGATGAAAATATTACTTTTGGTACAAAATAAAAATGCAAATATTAAATATGTAAGACTTTTCGAATGTTAATCTTATAATATTTTTTTTCATGATTTTTAGACATGCAGAAGAAAAAAGAAGACAAAAAATATCAAATAACAAAATTATTATGTGTACGTAATTTTATTTTTTTTACTTTTAAATGTGTGTTATTTTCATGTGCTAATTTTCTAATATTTTCTTCATAATACTGATATTTTTTTACTTTATTTTTGTACAAATGAAAATGCAAAAGAAAATAATACGGGACGCAAAAAAATCAAATAACAAGAATAATCTATACGGTTTTTTTAGTGTTAATGTTCAAATAATTTTTTAAGAACTGATACTTTATTTTTGGTACAGATGAAGATGAAAATATTACTTTTTGTACAAAATAAAAAATGCAAATATTAAATATATATGACTTTTTTGAATGTTAATGTTATAATGTTTTTTTCACGATTTTTAGACATGCAAAATAAAAGAAAGAAGATAAAGATGAAAATGAAGAAGATGGTATGGAGATGAAAATGGAACAAACAAGAATATTATGTGTACCTATTTTTTTTTTTAGTTTTAAGTTTATAAAATAATCTTCTATTAGTTATATAAATCATGTCGTATAAAAGAAATTTAAAAATTATATATAAATAGTTATAAATATGATAGTTCAATATTATATATGCTTTTTAATTTTTAACTTTATTATAATACTTTTTATTTTTTTATTAGATTGCTTTTAAATTTTTTTATTAATTTTTTTATTAATTTTATCGATTCCGAGAAATATGAATTATGATGAACATTTGTTTCTATTTTTTTATTTTTATTTTTCTTTCCTATTATATATAAATAATTTTATATGATTTTACTTTTGGTATATTTTATAAATGTTAAGATAGTCATATATTCTGCAAGTTAATTTATACAAATAAAGTTAAAAGTGATTTATCTTTATCTAATATTAATTATGCTTAAATCTTAAAAAGTATTTAAATCTTATTTTCAACTATTTTTCATCTAAATATTTTAATATTATTATTTTAGAGACGATATTAAACTATGGTGAGTATTTTAAAATTTTATTTAATAGGTATATTATTTTTATTTCAACTTTATTTCAACACTTTTTTTTTATTATATTTACTTCAAATTTTTTTATTAAGTTTTTTTAATTTTACCAGTTTATAGAAGATATCAATTTCGATAAATATTTGTTTTTGCTTTTTTTTTTATTGTGTATAAATAATTTTATATGATTTTATTTATGTTATATTTTACAAATATTTTGATTGTTATATGTTGTGCGGGTAATGTTTACGTATAAAATTAACTATGATTAATTCTAAAATATTTTTAATTAATCCTAAAATAATATATTCCTATTTAATATTAATTATGATTAATCCTAAAATATTCAAATCTTATTTTTAGCATTTTTTCACCTTAATTTTTTTTTAATATTATCGTTTTAGAGAATTATGTTGAGTATATATATAAAGAATGACTTTCATTCTTACTTTGTAATTATATAAATAATTTGATATAATGTTAGTTTTTTATATTTTGCAAATATTTTAATTATTATTTGTTCAGATAAAATTATGTAAGTTTTTTTTTTTTTTTTGTTGATTGTTGGTTAATTATTTTTTATTTATTATTTTAAATCATATGTATTATTATATTTTATATATTTTTAATTGCACTGTGCATAGTAACATAAGTAAGGAAAGCCTACGCTAGTCTCAAAATGAATTAAGCTCGTAAGCCACCTACAATACAACAAGAATTAGTAAAAAAAACCTAATCAAAAAGCAAACCCTTATCAAAGTCTGAATGTGTTTATGAAAATTCTTTCATACTCACTAAGCACCCATAAATGAGAAGGGCGGAGCTCGTTTTATAAGCTAAAGATTCTACCAGAATCCAGAATATTCTAAATATTTTTAAATGTTCTGTCGTATTTTACAACCTTTCAGAAAGATTCTAAAATATTTCTAAATATGTAGTTATACAAATATAATTTTAAAGTAATGTGTTTGAATTTTTTATTTTTTATTTTTTGTTTTATGTATTGTTATAGAAATAACCAAAATTTAAAAAAAAAATAAAAAAAAACAAAATAAAACCTAAAATCTTTTATTGTTATCATTTTTTATTATTTTTTATTTTTGTTTTTTTAGAAAAACCCCATCCTTCCACTTTCACCTCGTTACCACCGACGATCACACCATAAATCATTACTGTTGTTATACTAAAATTTTTTCGCATCAACGACAAAATAGGAAGATAAAACAGAAGTGCTTGAAATGTAAAAAAAATCTTCTCTTAAAATGGATTTCTAAAAGTAAGTTAGATTTTTTGTTTTTAATAAAATCAATATTTTAGCTTTGAATTCATGTTGTACTCGATTTCTTTGCCTTGTGTTTCTATCATGTTTATACAAATTTCGGTACTAGTTGAGTTTACTTCGGCATCAAATCGCACCGTCGTTTCTCAAATATGAATTATTTTGATATATTTTAAATTTTAAATAAACTCTTGTTGAGTTTGGAAGAATTTACTTCCTCATTGTATTTATGAGAATATGTGTATTAGAATTCCTTTATGTATACATAAAAATATTTTTTATATACCATATTATTTGTTTGATATACTTTAAATGACAAGTTAAATGCATATGTAATTGCGACTTAAAATTGAATAATTGATCTATATACTTACTCCTAAATGGATTTTTTTAAAACTTGCTTAATATTTTGCCATATATCTAAAATAGAGTACAAAAGACTCGTATCTAAAATTTTTTTATATCATACTTTTTACAATGAAATGAAGCAATTAAAAACAAAAATGACTAAAAAATACTTGAAAATCATAGAAGGGGTGGTAGGGGTGGCTGAGTTATATCCACACAGAGGTTGGGTTGTCGAATACAACAATATGAAAGCATATTGTTCATAGATTGCAGTGTGCATTTTATTCAAACCCACAAAAAAGACGATTTAGAATATTAAATTTGATTCATATTTAACAAATAGATGTATATATTATTATACTTCCCATGTCATCCAAATTTATTTACACATTTCTTTTTAGGTTGTCGTATAAATTTATTCTCGTTTCATTTTTTAAGTAAAAAGAAATATCACTTTTCTAATTTTTCTTTACCCTAAAAAAATATTTTTATTTATATTTATTTTTCTTAAAACGTATGTCTGATCAAAAAAACATATATTTTGATGAAGAACGGAGTAATTGATAGTAGAGTAATTTTGGTCATTTGAGTAAAATGACATATTTATCACTTTTAGTATGTGTGTTACTTTTTTAACTTAGGTGATTCTAGAGTAAATGTCAATATATACAATGGCGAAGGCAGGATTCTAAGTTGGCGGCGGCCGTTCATTTTTTTCAACATATAATATATAATAATTTAGAAACTAAGTAATATAATTAAATTTACAAAAATTTACAAGCAGCAAAAGGTACAGTGTCGTCGCTTCATGACTAATAATATCATATTTCAACGCCAAATTGCATCGTGAATTTCCCTACAAAAGAAAAAATATTTATAATAACATTTTAAATAAATTTAAATTAAAAATTACCTTTGACATTTGTAATCGCACTCTTCTTTCTTTCATCAAACAAACATCATCAATAATCTTTTCCGTTGAAAAACCTTCAACAATATCTTTTTTAATATAGAGAATCAAACAATTCTTTAAAAAATCATCATCCATACTGTTTCGGAGCCTTGTTTTCACAATCTTCATAGCAGAAAAAACGTCATTGCAGTAGAAACATGAAGCGCTAATACAAGACGAAGCAATCTATCAATTAAAGGATATATTTCATACTTTCTTGTCTCTCTTAGTCCTCTACATAATTAAGCAATTGTAGAAAAATCCTTCAATTTCGAATGTTAAGGCACATCAAGCTCATAATGTTGCAACTGAAATTTGAAGTGAATTTTTTCTTGTTCGGTAAAATCACAAGTATAAAATCTTTCCACTACCTCACATATGACTTCAATATCAAAAGACTTATAAAAATCCTTAGGATCCAAAAGCAACATTAAAAGATAAGAGCTCGGCCATCTCCTTATTAAATCTGGATTCCAATTCTTGCAATTGGTGATCAGTAGTAGCAACAAACACATAAACTCTATAATGATGTTCCACAGTTATATTGTTCTTTTTATGACGAGATCGAATCAAATAATGAACTCAATTTTGGAACCACAATGTCATAATTTTCACAGAATTGCACAGAATCATTCAGTTGCTCCTCCTATTTCTCATTTCCTAATTTATGTATCAAAACCATTGTAGTAGCAACCAAACTTAATGCATTTATGATATCTTGATATTTTCTCTATAGTGCTTGACAGATATTCTCACTAATTCTCATCAACTCTTTCATCAAATGCATAACAATAACAAAATCAAATGACAACAATTGATGAAGTGCAAAAGAAGCATCACCTTTTTTAGAATGTGGATCATTCAACAACAATGTCTTCCAATACTATTTTTGTTGGACCAAATAATTTCATCAAATTGCAAATTGATTTGAAATGTGAACTCCATCTCGTGTCACATGCTCTCCATAGAGTTGCAATTTGATTCGCACCAATTCTAATTTCAAGCTCCCCAACTTCAAGTAAATATGTCATTTCGGTAATTTGAGCTCACTTTTAGATTCATCCCTAATTTCATCAACAATCAAACAAAATTTTGATTCACCAATTTCATCACATATATATATATATATATTTTTTTTTCACATTCATTTGTCTGAATATCCGAAGATGCGTATTTAACATTTTGAGGGGCAGTATCTAAAACAACATCCTTAACATCGGTATTAAAATATGCTAATAGTTTAAGCATTTCAAGAAAATTTCCTTAATTTATTGAATCTAACCTTTCATCATGACTCGGAATGCACACCTTGAAATGCAAGCCATCTAACAGCTTCAATTGAAGTTCTCATCTGCAACTTATTTTTCTCAACTTGTTCAGAATATTGTTTCTCAATCAATTGCTCTAAATGACATAACTGGTTTTTTTAAATCATCATAGCATCTAATAGAAAACTTGTGAGTTGAAGTAGGAGATTTACCATCATAAATAAAGAAAGGACAATCTTGATCTTAATTCACATTTTTCCAATTTCTAAATCCTTTTACTTTAAATATATCCGATCCGGCCCTACCAAGTTGTTACTTAGATAAATGATAGCAAGGAAGACAATAAGCAGCATCGTTTGATTGAGAGTATTCAAGCAAATGAAAATTTTTGAACCATACTCTTTGAAAACTATGACGATGTCCTTCTCGACCGGTGAGAAGATGATCCAACAAAGGCTGATAAGGTCCAAGATTGATATAAGCTGTTCGTATTTCATCTCGCTTTGCAATTGAATACATCAACATTTGAAGTCGTACTCCCGGGTCATGTATTATAGAATCATGACTCTTCTCTTCCATCTCTTTCTGTTCATGAATATTTGATTCTTTGTGTTCAACTCTTGCATACTTTAATAGTGGTTATTTTCCCTTATTTAAATCATCTGACTTCTGAATTTTTTCATTTGGTAGCAATTCTGATTCGGTACCAACCGTACAAGTTTGTCTCTTTTTTTAAAAAAAAAATCTATAGTTTTTTCTTTCAAATTATTCCTCGTAGTTCAATAAGTAACCTGAAAATAACAATAACACAAACTTTCAATAAAAATACTTTAATAATCAAATATTCTTCAATTTCACCATCTTCAATTCTTGATTCATTCAACAAGAACGGAAAAAATAAAATTTCAAATAAGAATAACAAATGAAAAATAAACACATTTGTATAATTTTAAGCGGTATAGTATAAGAAACAATAAATTAATTTAAACTTGTACAATTTTTCAACTTAGTTAAATTCATACGGAAACTAAATTTTGAATCTTTAAAAATTCTAATTTTGTTTCAGTTTTAGCAAATTCTAAATCTTCGGTTTGCACTACAGTTTTGTTGTTTAAATCACCCATTCAGATATTTTAAAACATATATATATGTATATGTATTTTTCAAACTTTGAAAGTTGAACTTTCGAATGGTTGATTCCAATAGAAAACCAAGGAATAATATCTATAAGCTCTGGCACAATGCAAAAACATCGAAAAGCGAAAACACAACAATAATTCACCGGAGAGTGCTGAGTGAAGAACGTCGGCTGCCAGCGGTGTCTCGCGTTGGGAAGAAAAGAAGAATGACGTTGCGTCGGTGAGTCCGTCGGCAGGCCGCAGACGTCAAATTTAAAGAAAAAATTAGGATTGTTCACGACACAATAAAATATTTTAATAAGAAAATTATTATATAATATATATTATTATATTTTATGAAAGAAGTAATATAATAACCCTAAAAAATAATAATGAATGTTTATTTGATTTTTATTTAAGATTGAATTTTTTTCATTTAAATTATAATTTAAATAATATTTTGATATAATTATTTTTAAAAAATATATATTTTAAATATTTTGATCAAAGTTAAATAATATATTTAAATAAATTTATAATAACAATTTTTTATTAAATTAATAAAAGGATCATTACTCAAAATTTTAAAATTATACATATATTATAAAGAAAATAAAATCAGTAGGGTCCAGCACCCTTCAACCTCTTTCCCTCCGTCACTCAAAATATATATATATATATATATATTTGTTAGAAATATAGTTGTTTGTTGTTTTACTTTGTAGTTAGTTTGTTATATAATTAAAAAAGTGTTGTATTTGCTAATGGTTATGAACATATAGGCCAAGAAGTATTATATATACTCATTATATAAATATACATATGTCTATTTATGTATGTGGTCAATCGGAATTGAACCCTACACCTCTTGTATACAAACATAATTTTTGATCAAATATTTATTTTAACTTTATAATATTTTATTAATGCTTTATAACACTAATATATATTATATTAATGACTTTACTAATTATTAGTTTTTACTCATTCCATCGGTTAAATTTATTTTTATTTATTTTTTTAGTCAAGTCGATAAAATTTATTCTCTATTCAATATTTATTTACAACAAATAACATTAATTTTATTACCTTTTATCTAAATTTTCAAAGATATTTCAAGTATTTATATTTTTTTCACTAAAATATTTATTTCTTAGTGTTGGATCAAATTATGCTAATTTTAATGAACGAATAGAGTATTATTATCATTAAATAATTATTATATTTATATATATTATGTATTATATAAAAATGTAATGTAATATTAATATTAGCATAAAAAATTCAAACAAATAGGACTAATAATTTCGTAAATAAATATGTACTAATAGTGTAAAGTATATCCAACTCTAATGATATTTTATATGGAAAACACATTTTTTTTATTCCAAATAATTATCAAACTTACCTTTTATTTATTATTTTTTTTTAAAAAAAGAACATTCTAGAGTAATTTTACATACCCATATATACGTATATGTATGTATGTATGTATATATTGTAGCCAATGCCATCGACGATAACTATCCTGAATGTGTTGATGTGAGAGGGCTTTTTTAATATTTTTTCAGTTTTATGCCTTCTTCAATTCGATTCGCATCCTCTTCTTCTTCCTCCCCGCTTCCGTCGCAGTCGCCATCCCTATCCCCATCGTCATTCGTTGGTCTCTTCCGGTGCTACAATAATCTGCGATACAACTCTTAAAATCATTATTAATTCAACTTGCCTACTGCTTAACTAGTTGTGGATAATTTCAACCGTCGTGGCTGGCAGAGAGGCATAATTCGAATCGTTTTTGGATTTGTATGTAATTTTATTTTATTATATCTGTTCATTTATGTGCTCTTCTATGTTTTTAGCATTCGATGTTCGCTAAATTGCGATCACTGAGTCTACCACTTGTTTTCATTTAATGGATTTTACGAGGAATTATTATGGATTTCGCGAGTTTCAGTTACTGCTACTTTGTTTGGACAGTATAGTTTGCACGTCGTGTAATGTGGTTCGTTAGTGTTTTGTTTTTTCTAGTTTAATGCTGTTCGTTGCGCTGGTCTTTCTCTTCATTTTTCGCAATCTAAGTTTTGGTTCAATTGGATTTCTTGGGTATATGATTTGCAGTGCAGGCATTCTTCTTGTGGCACTAATGCAGAAAGTTTAATACTGTAAAACGTCTAAAAGCTCGATAGTGGATCAAATATATTCTTAATATCATTGGACTGACTATTAAAAGTTCAATTTTGGCTTTTTCCTAGAGGGTGATTTTTTCATTGTTGTATTCGTAACTATTCTTGATGTTAACTTTTGGTTTCTTAACTATAGCCTTTGAATGATCGGGTCTGGATGATTGCAGGGTCTTAAAAAGAGAGTAGGGCAAAGAAAGCACTCTTTTATACCACTTAGCGTACAAACTTAATCTATGTTTTTGTACTTTTTCCACTTAACATAGCCCTGAGTATTGATGCGGGCTTCTTTCTTGGCAAAATAAATTTGTAGGAAATAAATGGTAATTTTCACCAAAGAGATGCTTGTCGTCTCATGTACATATTTTGCTTCGCCTCCTTGCAAATACTGTAGCTATTGTACCACGATTCTTCATTCTATAATTTAATGTTACCAATTGATTGGAGTATGGATTTGTAAAGTGTGTGAGCTTCAGTGTTCGAGAAAACATGACAGCCACATGGTCTAATTTAAATTAAGATCTTTTGTGGGAAATCATAACTGTGCTTTTTGTTCCATGAGATTGGCTATGACAGAATTAAAAGCTATTGTCAAGAATTCCATGTGATATAGTGTGTTTGGGAGAGGTGAACTGTATCAAAGTGATGCTTTAAACATGAAATGATAAATGCGCCTAATATATTTATGGTCATCTGCAGAGATTCTTGAAATGCATCGTGTTGCAAGTGCTGGAAACAGTAATTCAACTTCAGTACGTAGTCGCAAGGAAAAGAGGTTGACTTACATATTAAATGATGCAGATAATATGAAGGTGCTGCTTCAATTAATTCCAAAAAAGGCTCACTAATTAGTTTTATTTCTATTGGAGATTGGGAAGTTGACAATGTACATGCATAATATGGTTTGTGCTTTTTGATCGCCCTAAGAGTGAAATCTAAGAATGCTGTATCTTTGGGCCTTCCCCCTGTACTCTCTCCAGGAGATCACTGCTGAAGTTCATTTTATTTTCTTGTTTCTTGGTAATCAACTGATCACTGTTTCAACAAATTTAGAAGTTTGATTGGAGGTGATGGTTTGATGTTAGGGTTACTTATCCTATTTGCTATTTGGTTTACTGAAAAATCAGTAAAAATTGACATGTTGCATTATGGGGAGGCATTAGCTTGGAGAAGAATTCTGAATTTATTTCCAACATTAATAACAAGGATTTCTTAGTTCTTCTTCAAGTGAAGAACAATATTGTTCATTCTTAATTTTGATTTGTTGAAGTGATTGTTATTTGAGGAGGGATGGTTTTTACACAGTCCGAGTTGTTTTCCTCTTGCAAATAGTTTGAACACTTAGAACTTTACTGGTTATACTGATTAATAAACATGGTGATCAAAGACACAGTTTTCTATCATTTGTTTTGCAAGACTAATAAATTGTATGAGGAATCTCCAATCAGACAGTTACTAAATTCACTTTCATTTTGGTAAAAATGATTGTCCAACAGGGCATGCTATTATAAAGCCTTCACTGATACAAGATGTCTACCTTCAGTACCTTGATGATGGAACATTGAACTTATAATACTTCTGTTTTCATTGGCAGCATTCTTCTGGTGTGAACTGTTTAGCTGTCTTGAAGTCTTCAGGACAAGATGGATGCAATTATCTCTTTACTGGTAGCCGTGATGGCACATTAAAGAGATGGGAATTATCTGAAGATCGTGCTTCTTTCTCTGCTACATTCGAGTCTCATGTTGATTGGGTACAAGTTACTCTCATCTTTGAGAAGTCTGTTGCTTATCATATGCTATATCTTCTTTTCATCATTATGTTACTTGATCAGGACTACAATAGCAACATTAGAAAGTTTTGCTGGTGTGTGATAGAAATGCCAGTCCAATAATACGACTTAAGTTCTATTTGATTCAAGTCTCTTATGTTTATGCTGATGCACTATAAAATTGGTATAAGTAACTACTTGTGTAATTGCTGATGCAATTGGAGTTGTAGTATATCAGGAGTAAAAAAAATATTATTTTAGATGAGGATTTCGAGACAAAATGGGTTCCAGTATGATTCATTTTGTTTGGATTGCATATGTACATGAAATTGTAGCTCGTGTATACAAGCTCTTCATTGTATAGTATACCTTTCTTAGACATCTATGTTGCTGTGGCAGGTTAATGATGCTGTTCTTACAGGTGATAAAACATTGGTTTCTTGCTCATCAGATGCCACTGTTAAGGTTTATATACTATGCATTTATGCCTTGATTTGTAACTATTTTTGCTCATATATGATTTTCTTTTAACATATGAAAATATTAGGTGTGGAATAGCCTGTCTAATGGGACATGTCTCAGGACTTTGCGTCAACACTCAGATTATGCTACTTGCCTTGCTGCTGCTGAAAATAATGTAATCTCTTCAAATCTCCCCCCAAGCACATAGAAATGCCACATACTCCTGTGTAATGATCTTGCGGATAATTTAAAATCATGTGTAGGTATGGTCACTCATTGCATTGATCCGTTTATTATGCTTGCTTTTGTGTTGATGTTCCACAGAGCAACGTAATTGCCTCTGGTGGCCTTGGTGGTGAGGTTTTCATATGGGATCTTGAAGCTGCACTTGCTCCAGTTTCCAAATCAAATGATATGAATGTAGATGACAGTACAACGTGTACAAATGGTTTGGGGTTTTTGCCACATACAGGTCTTCGTCCTATTAGGTCAAGCAATAACATTACTGTGCATCCGACTCCAGGTCAAGGTTATGTTCCTATTGCTGCAAAAGGCCATAAAGAGTCGGTATATGCATTAGCCACAAATGACCGTGGCACTCTTCTTGTCTCTTGTGGTACTGAGAAGGTATGTTTTACTTGTTTAACTGATTATGTATATTTTTTTATAATAATAATAATTATTATCATTATTATTATGCTTTTTATCAAAATAATAATAATCTAATTGTTTGTGCTTATATAACTATAATGAACTATGATCAATTTTTTTTTTTTTTTGATATTTTATTGATTTGAACGATAATTATAGAATTTTTTATGCATTCTTATTATACACTTGGATATATAATAACTTTTATAGGTATACTTTAAGTTTGCAGATAGTGGTGAATATTTTTTGTAACATTATCCAATATTGACAATGATTATTAGTATTATTATTATTCCTTCTGTCCACCAATTATATGCTTGTTTGAGTTGGACAATGTTTTAATAAATATAGTATTATATTGGTTGATTGTGATATAAACTAAGTAGTTTAGGGTATTATAGAAAGTATATTTGTGAATTAAAAGGTAAAATTATTTTTTTTAGAAAAAGATTTAGTATGTAAATTAAATGATTGTGGCATATTTGTAAATATATGTAATGTTAGACATTTAATAGAAAAAGATGTTTTTATTGCCGCATTACTTTTAAACATTAATGTTTAACATGTTCTTCATAAGTAAGTAAATAGATCCGAAACAAATAAAATGCAGTTAAGCTTGCCGTGATCCAAGCTATTATTGCAAAAATAGGCACATACAACCAACTATCATTATGGGTATAAATTAACGCATATGTAAGAGTTTTTTTTTTTTTTTTGCTAGAAGTTGAATGTGTATACTTTTCTATAGACAAACAAAAAAGAAAAACAAACGTATATTTGGTGGACAGGAAGAAGAGAGTTTTATTATTATTATTCATTTATTTATTTAGTTTATCTCGTGCTAATGGATAATTTTTTAAATTTCTAATGCATGTCCACTTTCTTGTTTATAACTTCGAAAGCTATCTTTCCTTGTTGCATTTTTTTAGGTTGTGCGTGTTTGGGACCCGAGAACTGGTTCTAGAACCATGAAGCTTCGGGGGCATACTGATAACATTAGGGTTCTGCTGTTGGATTCTTCTGGCAGGTTTGTTGGATTTGTTTCAACTTTCAAGTTACCTTAATTGAGTTGAAGTCTAACATAGTACCTCAAGAATTTATGTGGGCAGAAACTAGGGGGTCATAGTATACATAGTGGCGTAGTAGTTTTGAAAATGATTAGTCTGGAGTCGGTTAATTGAATTAACATCAAAGTGTAACTCAGTGATCAACATTGAGCTAGAAATACATTCTTAAAGTGTTGTCTTATCAATATAATGTGACGATGTCATGATATACTGTGTTGTGGAAAAACAAAAAGAAAAAGAAGATAAGAAATAAAATAAAGTCATAGTCTTGATTCGCTCTTTTTTGTCTTATTTGTTAGGTCATTTACGCATTTCCTTTAGCAAATGTTTCTCTGATTACAAATTTTCTGTTCTTTGGCATGGTAGAATCGGGCATAAGTCTGCATACTTATTATGGATGCACCCTAAAAACATATGATTGCAGATTTTTTGCATTCCACTAATTTTTACTGGTACACTGACATCTTGGCACATTACAGTTGGCTCATGTAACGGTAACACTCATTCTTCCGAGTTTCTGCTTCCCATGCAGAAGCTGGACTGGATCATTTTTTTTCTTTTTTGGTTTATCGTGTTGATTGGTTAATTTTATATTTTGCAGACTTTGCTTATCTGGGTCCTCTGATTCCATGATTAGGTACTGTTTGCATATATCTATGACAACAGAAGTGATCACTTCATTTTTCTTAAGAGGACTAATTTTTATAAAGAAGCAACACTTTATAAAATGTATTATGTATTTTTCTATTTCATCAATAACTATTATTATTATATTTTATTTTAAATTATTTTACTTTATTTTCTGAAATTGTAATAGGCTGTGGGATCTTGGTCAGCAGAGGTGCATTCATTCCTATGCTGTGCACACAGACTCTGTCTGGGCCCTTGCCAGTACCCCAACATTTAGTCACGTTTATAGTGGTGGAAGGGATCTTTCTGTGAGTGACATTAAAATTGAACTATAGAGTTCCATACATAGTGTGTCGATTTTTACCACTACTTTCATCCTTAAACTGATGGAAATTTTTCTTTTCAACATTGTCTTTTAGTTGTATATGACAGACTTGTATAAAAGAGAAAGTGTGTTGCTATGTACAGAAGAGCATCCAATCTTGCAACTGGCCTTGCATGACAATGGGATTTGGGCTGCCACAACAGATTCTACTTTACATAATTGGCCGGCTGAAGCACAGAATCCTATGAAAGTATTTGAAAGAGGTGGTTCTTTCTTGGCTGGCAATTTGTCTTTTTCGAGGACAAAGGTTTCACTCGAAGGTTGTACACCGGTGAGTTACATATTCCATACTCCATACATGTGGTAATTTATACTGAGTTTTCCACTGAATAATCTAACAAATTTAAGCCTAGTTTCTATCAATGCTAAGACTGGTTAACTCTCGATGGAGTTATCTGTGATAGGGGGGGACATATTGTAATTGCTTTTGATATAGGAGAAATCGGAACAAAACTTTCTGAACAGTCTTCCAGATATATATATATATATATATCAAGCCTTCTTTTCAGTTTATTTTCTATTGTCATAATTTCATGTTATAGTAGTTATTTTCAGCTAAACTTCAATTATTGAATCCAATATTCAAGGGAAAATCCGCTATTCCTAATTAAACTTGTTCCTTGAGCAATTATACCTCTTCTGCTATGTCTTATTGACCAAAGTCGACATGTTTCTGCATATCTTTGATCCTATTATATGTTTCAAGTTGCACCGTTAGAATTTTACTGCTGATTCTGGTGACGGTGGATGCTTTACATGACCTTTATGTTGGGCATTTTTTATTTGCGTTTATGGGATAAAAGTAAACTAAGCAATTTGCTATTTGAATTTTCTCAGAGCCCTGTTAGTAGAGAACCATCTTTAAGCATTCGTGGAGCTTCAGCTATCGTGCAGCATGAGATTTTAAATGATAAAATGCATGTTCTGACCAAGGTAACGTGATGTTAGCTTTTCTCTTCGCTCCTCCCATCCGTTGGCTTTTCTCTTCGCTCCTCCCATCCGTAATTTGTATTTAATACAATCAGTGTGTGTTCTATATATTAAATTTAGAAAAACTGAACTCAATTTTACATTTTGAAGGACGCTGCCGGGACAGTGAAATTGTGGGAAATTACAAGAGGTGCAGTAATTAAAAACTATGGCGAGGTTAGTTTTCGACAATGTGCCATTTTTATATTGTGATGGAACATATATCTACTTTCGAATCATTCTAATCTTTTTCATTGATGTTTACAGATTTCATTTGAGGAAAAGAAAAAAGAACTGTTTGAGATGGTATGCGATACTATCAGATGCTAGAACGTTCCATATTTTCGTCTTCTTCCTCTGACTCATCTGCCCGTACAGGTGTCCGTACCTTCATGGTTCACAATAGATTCAAGGCTTGGGAGTTTGTCGGTGCACTTAGATGCACCACAATGCTTCACTGCTGAGATCTACTCTGCTGACCTAAACATTCCAGGAAAATCGGACGATCACAAGGTTTTTGCTATTACAATTTATATCCGCTCCCAATTCAATTGGTAGGGCGGCGCAATGAGATTATTTTATCCGGCGCACTTATCTTTCTCTATATATTGTGCATGTATTTTTATTACAGTCGAAAGTATAACCAATTATATTATATCCATGCAGATCAGTTTGGCTACGGAAACAATTAAAGGGCTGCTGGAACGTTGGCTAGCGAAAAGAAAGATGAGATCCGAACCTCAAATTTCAGCTAATGGCGAGATTCTACCAGGAAATGAAATGCCTGCGATAACCACGAGCCTATCTGGCGTAGACGGAGACAGCAATTTGGAAAATGATTCTGCCACCTATCCGCCATTTGAGTTTTCCAAGACTTCCCCTCCTGCCACCTATCCGCCATTCGAGTTTTCCAAGACTTCCCCTCCTTCCATTGTTACCGAAGGCTCTCATGGAGGTCCATGGAGAAAGAAAACTACTGATCTAGACGGAACTGAAGACGAGAAACACTTTCCATGGTGGGTTCTTGACTGTGCGACGAGTACTCGCCCGAGAGAAATTACCAAGTAATTTTCATCCCGAGTTTTCTTGCTTGAATACCTATATTTTGTTTTAGTTGCATTCATTTTTGTCTACATTTCTCCAAAGAAATGTAACCATCAGATGTTCTGCATTTTTTGGTTTAGTGAATCGAATACTTTTTGGGGACTGATTTTGTTTACTTACGATAATATTTTTTAAAAGTTTTGGTACTGTTGATCAATAATTAATTTTTTAAAATATTACATCAAATACTTAAAGATTATATTTATGTCATATCAAATATATATACCTTTTTATTATCAAAATATTTACAAACTCTTATCTAATAATTAGTCAAATTATACTTTAATCATTATTTACATTTTCAAATTCTTCTTAATTTAAATCATTGCTAATAACTATTCCTCTATTGCAGATGTTGTTTCTATTTGCATCCATGCGAAGGTTCTACTGTTGAGGTTCTCACTCAAGGGAAACTCAGTGCTCCTCATATTTTGACAATATATAAAGTAAGAATTGCTCATAACTGAGAACATAAATTGCTTCTATATATATATATATATATATATATTGTACTGACATTTAAATTGCTTAAAATGAGTCTATTCTAGCATCATTTAAAAAAATATGTATTTTTTGCTCATGTGTTTGCATTGAACCTCTTAGGTCATTAGTTATGTGACACAAAAGATGGTTAAGAATTCGCATAATAAGGGTCCAACAGCCGTCGAAGCTCAGATTCCTCCTCCAGTAGCCGGTAATGGTTCTGAAGTAGTAGCCCGTGATGATTCGGGACAGAAACTTTCGCAAAGATTGAAGCACAATGTAGAGATTTTTTGCAAAAACCATGTATATCCATTCTATCTAAATATTTTATAGTACAATTGAATTAAATTGAATTGAATGTAAGGAAGATTAATATGGTGATTTTGGTTGTTGCAGGTGTTAAGTCCGGAGATGAGCTTAGCAACTGTTAGGGCGTACATATGGAAGAAAGCCGATGACCTTGTCCTTTATTACAGAGTGGAGGAGGAGGACGACGAAGACAATAGGTGACATAACTTATTCAAATCAAAGGTGATACTCACTCTTGCTATTCCATTAATATTATTATTTGTTAAACAAACTTCCTAATTTTATGTAGGGGTTGCTATTTTTGTAAATATTTAGAAATATTTGAATGGGCAAGGACAGTTTCCGATTTCATTGGCTGGCTGGGTACGGTCAGATAGTTTTTAGTAGTCTAATTGAAGTTTTCAAGTTTGATTTTTTTTTAATGTTTTGTTAATTAATTTGACCGTTAATTAATTTCTCTTTTTTATTTATTTATTTATTTTTTATGACAATGGGCTCGACAGGCAAGTTACACTAAGTTAATTATTTGTGGCAGGTGACCTGAGGCGTACATGACCAGGATTGGCTGTTATAATCACCACTTCCGTCTATAAGATTTTGACTAACTTGAATGTTTGCAAATAGTTTATTCTTAATTTCATTCCATATCGATGGTTAAAATTGATAAGAATGTATTTGTTAGTTTGAGGCTTTTTTCTTTTATTTTTTTTTTTTGTGAAATATGAAAAATTGTATCGATAATATTATAAAAATATAATATTTTATTTTAATTTGAATTTTTTAAAGAAAATAGAATATATATTATTTATATTATGTGGGTGTATATGTATATACGTAATTATTTTGAGGATAGAATAGTATATGTTTTGTGTAATATATGCATATATATATTATATTTTTTATAATATTAATTGACAGACAAAAATATAATATACTTTTTAATCAAATTTACTAATCTAAATCATAGTAAAAAAATTATGTAGTTGTGTGTTTGAAAGTCTTTTGGAATTTATAAAAATGAAAATTTAGTAACTATTAAATATCATTCCAATTATAATTGATAAAATTGTAAAGTAAGATAGCAATATATTGACAATTTTAGATAAAATATTAATATATTCTATTAGTGTATTGAAACTATAATTACTAAGAAAATAAATATATTAAGTAAAATATAAACATTGCCGGAGAGCATATGATAGTATTTAATTGTAGTTAATGATTTATATATATTTATTTGTGTGTGTAAATTTTGTTTGTCTTTTATGTTATAATTTGCCGTGTTAATTATAAATAAACATACATTTGAAAATATTTATAATATGAAATGTAGTAAAATTTACTAAAAATTATATATATACTTTATTACGGGACAAATAAAAATAACAAAATATATACATTTTGACAATACAAAAAGAGTATACTTTTTTAGGAGTTTATATATATATATATATATATTTCAAAATAAAATACTTTTTCGTCCCGGCTATCGTGTTCTCTTTATTGTAGATAAGAAAATTTAGGAGAAGTATAATTAGTAAATAATTAAAAATGTATTAGTAAAAATAATTATGGTATAATAAAAATATTTTTAGATTAAGATTAAGATAACTAATTAGTCTAATTAAAATTTTAAAAAAATTATAAATTAAAAAATTTAAAATGAGATTAAAACGTATGATTCTTTTCCAAAAATAGAAAGTGATAGAATATTTGGAACAAACCGAAATAGAAAGGTGGATAAGGTAAGTGGGACGGATCGAGAGTATAATACTCCCATCTCATTTACCTTTTGTATTAGTGTATTTAATATTAAAAATATTTTTATATCTGTATAATTTTTTGCACAAATATCATTATAATAATATAATATACTAATAGATAGACCTGTTAAAACAGGTTAGTGGGGCGAATTGGCCCACAACCCACGATAACCTGCAAATAAGCAGGTTGTTTACGGGCCAACCCGTGGCGGCGCGGATCAAAATTTTATCAGTCCAACCCAACCCACCGACGGGTGGCAAGCTAACGGGCTAGCCCACTGACTTTTTAAAAATATTAAAAGAATATTAATATTATTAATATTTTCGTGATTAATATTTAAAAATAACTAAAAATAGTTTAATTATAGAATTTAAATAATAAATATTTTTAAAATAAATAACAAATATAAAAATTCTCAATTCTAAATATTATTAATTGGTGTATTTACAAAAATTAATAATAAGAAATACTTCATTTTAAAAATAAATTATAATTAATTTTATGAATTTGTAAAATTATAAAATAATAAAATGAAAGACGAACAAAACAAATGATAAAAATCAAAACAAATAACAATGTTATGAATAACATAGGTAGAGAAGAAAAATAACGTGTAGACAATATTTATAATTTATTTAATCTAATGATAATATAAATTTTATTTTATTCGTATTAACTTATTTATAATGGTATGTTTGTAATTTATAAAAAAAATAAAATATATTCTTATATTAATATTTGATTAGTTTTATTATAATTTTTTTATTATGACAGTAAAAAATGGTAAAAGAATACATTTAGTTAGACGAGTGAGTACTAATTATTATATTTACTTGACCCGTGGGCTAACCTGCCCCATTGCGGGTTAACCCACCCTCAACCCGCGGCTCATGCGGGTTGGCCCATTTAGGCCCGCATGTTAACGGGGGTTAAAGAATCACAACCCAACCCTCCTTAAAAGTAAAGCGTGGCGGGCCAACCCGACGGACTCAACCCATTTTGACGGCTCTACTAATAGAAATATTTTGTCATTTTCCCTTGATTTATACTATATTTTTATATAATATTTAATATTTAAATATAACACGTTAAAAGTAAATAAGACTCTCAGAGCCAAACAAAGATAATACTCCCTCTGTCCCCATATAATAGTCATGTTTACTATTTTTGTCCGTCCTAAAACAATAGTCTCATTTTCATAAATAATCATATCACTATAAAATTACCTTTACTTTTTCATTATTATTACACAATTGCCATTACTTTTTACACTAATATACTTAAAGGGCAAAAAAGTTTTTGACTCAGTATTTTTTATTCACTATCAATACTATATCAATATTCTTTAAATCTCGTGTCAAACATAACCAAACTATAATTCTAAGAGGAAATGAGCATATATTTTCAATTGAAAATAGTATAATAAAATATTAGGAGAAAAGAAAAAAAAAACAAAATCTTGATACTAATAGACGTTTTGACCGTGACCAGCCTCCGTACCAATCTTGAATTTAATTTAAATTAATTTAATTTGTTGCATGGAGATTTTTGTTGTGTGATGATTGCATTGCATGCATTGTATCACGTTTATTATTGTACTCCCTCCGTCTCAAATATTCTGTAATATTTTTTTTGGTATGTCCCAAATACTATACAATATTTCTAAAATAAGAAATAATTAATTATACTTAATCTCTACACCACACTTTATCTTCTCACATCATCCAAATAAAATAATAAAATATATATTTCTCTCTTCATCACATCACCTAATTTCTAAATTATCCTACTTAATATTACCCACCTAAAAATCCGTGCCAAAAACAAATATTGCACCTTGTTTAGAACAAAGGGAGTTCAATATACACTGTAAATGAACATAGTCTAGATACCAACAAATGTTGTGTTAACTGAAATCATAAATTGAAAGTCTATATTTTATGGTATACTGTTTTCATGTATCTCATGTAGGGATGGCATATTATACCGTACCGAAAATATCGATCGATACCGATATCGTACTGAATTTATCGCTATGACGAAAATACATATTGGTACCGTACCGAAAATTTCGATACCGAAAATTTTAATTTCGTTCGATACCAGCATATACTGCTTATTTCGAAAATTTTGATTTTGGTACAATACTGGTATATACCGATTATACCAAAAATATAATTTTAAATTTCAAAATATTTAAAAAAATTAATAAATATCACCATTCTCCACCACAAAAATATTATAAAAAAAAATCAATAAATTTTTATTAGTCTACATACTTTTTTGTTATGATTTAAAAAACAATTAATAATTATTATTTATATTAATAATTAAATTATTTAATAAAAATAATATCAGTACAGTATCATAACGAAATACCTAACTTTTCGAAAATTTATATCGATACTATACCGAAAACCTCAGTAGATTAAACTTATTAATTTATAATTATCGGCTATCCGTTAATATATTATATTTATACTATCAAATTTATATAGTATGTACTCTATCAATATCTAGAATACCTTTAGCATCATATTGAAATTTTAATTTGCATGCAAAACATCAATGTTTTATACTCACTCCGTTTCAAATAAGGTGCAATATTTATTTTTGGCACAGGTTTTTAGGTGGGTAGTATTAAGTATAATAATTTAGAAATTAGGTGATGGGATGGAGAGAAAAATTTATATTTTATTTTTTTAATTTGAACGATGCGAGGGGATAAAGTGTAGGGTAGAGATAAGGTATAATTAATTATTTTCTATTTTGAAAATATTGCAAAGTGTTTAGAACATATCAAAAAGAAAATGTTGCACGGTGTTTGAGACGGACGGAGGAGTATGATTTAATACACTTCTTATTCATTTCTGTTTGAATATGCTAACAATTTCAACAAATTTTTTGTTTGATTTATTTTTTCCTATTAATTATGAAATTAAAATTAATTTAACCTATTATATTTATATACTTCTTCTAGAGATCTATATACAATTATTTTTTGCACAAAATTTAAAAAATAAAAATATTTTAATTGTAATAAATGGTTAAATATAGTGTAAAAATTATATTGTTTTTTACTTTTTATTATCTATATATAAGTGATGTAACGATACAATAATAAATATGTAAGAAAATCATAGAAATATTTGTATTGAATATAAAATCTACAATTACAAAAACAAATGCATATATATATATACTAGTCTTATAAGAGAAAATTTTTTGTTGTTTTAGTCCGCCGGCGCCGGAGACGCCCGCGTGGCTCACCGGAAGTGACGTGTCAGCTAGGTGCTAACCTGGCGAACACGTGGATTTTTTATTTTTATTTTTTCATTTTTTTAAATTTTTAAAAAACTTATTTTAAATTTATTTTAAATTTTATTTGTATTTTTTTAATTTAGTCCAATTTTTAAAAAAAATTAAAAAAAAATGAAAAAAAAAATAAATCTACGTGTTCGCCTGGTGTCGTTGACCTGACGGGACACCTGGCGGACACGTCACCTCCAGCAAGCCACGCGGACATCTCCGGCGGCGGAGGACTAAAGCAACGAAAATTTTCCACTTATGGGACTAATTTGCGATAGACTCAACTTACGATAGTAAAATGATAAGGGAGTCCAGTTACGAAACTAAAAAAACAGTTTACCCTTAAATTAAATTCTATGTATAACAAGAAATACAATATCAAAATCGGAATCAAAATCAGACGGCTAAATCTTTTTCTTTCTTTCGTTTTCTTCTTCTTCCTTCTTTCTCCTTCGCGTTCTTCCGCTTCGGTTCGAAGTAAGAGTAAGTTTGTTTATTTACTATATATATATATCTATTTATATTATTATTATATTACTATTACTATTATTATTATTATTATTATTATTATTATTATTATTATTATTATTAACATTATCACCACCAACTCCAACAT